GTAAGTCTATCGCACACCCCTTTTTACAATCTTATCAGTTGGAGTTTCGATTTGGAAATTCCGCGCGAAATTGTTATATTTGGGCTCTGAAATATCAAAATATTCGAGATTTTACCCAAAAGAAGTCTCCAATTCTTTTTCAGATTGAAAATCTTGCCTATGTTCTTTACGTTGTGTACAGAGACCATTTCATTATTGAGTTTCAAGGCTAAACGCACAGTAGCACTTTAAAGCAGTGTAGACTGACGAAAAAATGCCCGCTTTGTAGTCATATTATGAGATAGTGTCCGGCAGGACTTGTATCCATTCAATACACCTGAAAATAAAACATTTAAGCATTTCAAATGTTAAAGTGTTGGTGCAAAATCAGTGGCTTGTGTTGCCAAAAATTAATACTTTAGAAACAATTTGGGAAGAAGCGTAAGCTAACGTATTTCCGTTGATTTGCAACTCGTAATATTCCGAAACCCACTCCTTTGTCATGCCTAAACGATGAGGTATTCAGCTGAACGGATGTTCTCTGACAGATATTGATCTCCTGATCACTGAAGTCGCAAACGAATATTTCAACCATTGAGGAAGAATAAAGAAATTATAAAAGGGAATTTAATTAAACGAAACTTATAGCTTTAAATGTTATTTCTTATTTAACATCTTAATACCCAAGGCAGATAAAACGATTGATTTACCTTCTTTGTGAGGCGTAGATGAAGAACAGTTGCTGATGCGTGTTAGAATTTAGACACAAATTTGGCAAGAAATTGGCCTTCGAAAGAACATGTAATTATCTTGTCTTTGCAAGAAGGATGAAATTCGAGCCGCTACAGATTAGCTTTCCTGAGGGATTAAGATTGACTTAAATAAGGCCTGATGTTGAGACTAATTGATTGTGACAGTAACGGAAGTTAAGGATTTAAATGACGTTAGTTTTGCGCAGGAATAACCTTATAAAGCTAAGAAGACTTCTATTAATTGAGCAAGTAACTACGAAATGAATTCCCAGCAAATTTTTTAAAACTGCTTTTACGATCGCCTCCAGCCTTGAAATTCCAATTTCACGAATTGAAAAAAAACGTAACAAGCGAATTTACTTTCAACAGAATATTGTGGTTATGCTAGCATCTTATTTATTCGCATTCCCACTTAAGGTAGAAGTCAACACCTAATTTCTTTGGAAGTAAAATCAAATTATGGTAAAATTTTCTTCTAAAATAACCTGAAAAATTAAAAGAATCCTCCCACCACTTCGTGGAATATCACAATGTCATAGGGACATTTTCCTGAAATTGGGCGGATGGTTGTTGGTGGTGGTGGTAAGTGGGAGCGGGGGGAGGGGGTGATTCAAAGACTTTCAAGGCAAAAGAACAGAATTCATACTTAGTGTACTGGTTTATCGATTATTGGCATTTCAAACTCTTGCCAGTGTGTGGGTGATAAGTGTTACAGCATCAATGGCTCTTCAGATAGGCCTAAAACCTTCCTTTTTCACATATATATACACGTATACAAAATCTTGAATTGAAGGACTTATTTCTCCTTCTAACTATATCTACTGGGTTTGAGCCACTGTAACCAAGGCATTCATTTTGGTATCCAAATAGCAATGTTCATGCGTATGAATACCACATTTTGCACACATTTTTTAAGGTAAAAAGTTCTATCACCAAAACTAAGATTTTGTAGAACGTAAATACCATTCAAGGTATAAGCATTAGTTCTACCTACTGGCAGTAATTTAATGCTAATTAGTAAAAATATGAACTTTTAAGCCAAAAGCCTTTCCAGAATGTAGGTATGGAATTTGAGGCCTAAATTTCGACGTGTGCAGTCTATTTATATATTTCATTGTTCTTTATGGAAAAGGATAAGTATTTTCCTGGCTTTCTGTTGCTTAAACCTATAGATCTATAACACTGTGTCATTGATTTCACTATTGATAATTTTTTTCATTTGATTGATAACGAAAAATAATGGAATTGGCAGAAAATTGCTCTCGTATAAAAATTACTTGAAATAAAAAAAAAACGCGCTTCCCGTTAACGCGATGGATGACAAGATGATCACAGTTTATGGAAATTTTGTTTTTAGCTTCCGGAGTCATGAAATTCAGGGAAGATGTCCTTGTTCCTTCTAAAATAATGGAAGTAATAGACGAAACCGAAGCAAAGACTGTCCTTATATCCTCCTTCAGCACTTATTTAAACAAAGATATCCCTATTATAACAACTTTGCGTATTTAACCAATCGCTAACCAAAAAGAGCTGAACTACGTTTCGCAAGTTAGTTGCAGAAGGACCGTTTTTGTGAGAAAGTAGGCACCATGCAAAAAAAATTGGCTGCCAGCTATAGCAGGGCAGAAGGACAACTGTTCTAATATATCATATTCGTCACTTTCCTGACTACGTCTTGTAGCAGAACCTAAAACGTCAGCTGTTTAGGTGAGATAGACCAAGCGTCCTTCTTTTAGAAGAAATTAATAAAACGCGCGTCTGGTTCGCGGTCCTTAGAAGTATTCACAAATTTTGCTGAATGGAATATTGATTAGTCCCCAGCTAGCTGATTAATCTTAAGGTTGCTGTGACTTATCAACTTTAATTTATACAGTAATTTTTTAATACATTGTGTTATAGCCACAAATTCAGAAATTATTTTAATTTTAATCAGACCAATTGTGTTAAATCGCATTTACTAAATTTCTGAAAATGTATTTTAAAACGATTGACATGAGTGGCTGAATTAGACGAACAAAAACTAATAACAATATTGGAGACATGAGCTACAATACAAAATACACATTAAGTTTTAATATATAGCATATATGTGATGAAATAATGCACTTTTATTAATTTTTAATAAAGTGGATAAAAATTTTTTGTCTGGGATTTATTCAAATGAGCTAATAAACACAGACACAGATGTTCTTGCAGGTGGATAATGTGGCAGTCTATGGAAGTCATTTTCGCTTCCAGTTTGTGGACAGTGAATATGACCAGTGATAAATTACTCTGGTCTTAAAATCGGGTTTTGCACATTAAGCTTGCTTTTACGGTAATATATTGCACGAAATTTCACTCTGGTCAAATGGTGTACCATAGAGATAATGGATGAGAAATTTTCTGTTTCAAGAATAAAACAGGACTTGGTTTCTTAAATATGATATAAGGAAACGTCTTCATTCCAAATGAGTTTAAGTCAAAGAACCCCAATTCTTTAAAATTATTAACTATGGGCAAAATATGATAGTTGTTGAAGTATCCCAACAGTTTCAACAAAGGTACGTTTCAAGGAGAGCATATTAATTTAATAATGACGATTTGTTTGAACAGAAGCTTTTAAAATGCTTAAATGTTAATAATCAAACCATCTAAACGAAAATGATGTTGCCCATTTCCACTATGAGAAAATCATATCAGAATACTAAGGCTGAAGTGAAACCAAGAGAGCTTATTCTAGAAATAAGAAATTTCGTTCATGGACAGTTTTTAGACATGATGACATACATTTGGGTTAAATTCTATAAGAGGATTTATGTATACCTTAAATGATAAATAAACCAAAAATCGCCTTAAAATACTAAGTGAAATGAAACGCTTTAATCTAAAACATTGTCTATTTTTTTTCTAGTAATAGTATTCATTATAAAGTAACATGCATGGCTTTCATTATGTTAGCAAATTGTGATTCAGCAAGCTGTTAATTTACATTTGA